CCCCAAAACCCCAAAACCCCAAAACCCCAAAACCCCGTGGTGGATTGAGATTATTGAAGGATTTTTGAAGATGAAATCATCGATTTTTGGGATATTAGTTTGGAGTTCGGAAGATGGGATGAATCAGGGGTTCTGAATGGGATACTTAGCATCTGAGCTCCCATAGGACAAGCAGAGGGAATGGAACGGCAGTGTGGGTTCAGAGGCTTTGGAGAAATTTGAGCAGTGTTCCTGGCATTAGTCCTTGTGTTATTTTCGTGACCTTAACTTCCTCATTTTCGGAAGGTTTGAACTATTACTACTTTCAGAATAATGATTAGGCCTGTTGTTCTCTCTTGTTTTAAGTGAGATTTTCTCAATGCTATTCATATGCATTCTTTTCCCTAAATATATTTCTTGCTTTCTGTCCCTAATATAGTTGGCGCTTCCTCTCATTTTAAAAGGGAAGAAGTATGCTTCACTTTTCTTTTTGCCAGTAGTTGATTGGGTCTTCTTCTCAGTGACTATAAAAACGGTGTTGTACTATTAACATCTGTTGATGTCTCCTCTTTCTGGGAGTCAAATCTGCTATGAATTTTAGCATTTTTCCTCCTAAATTTCCTCCTCTTCTTGGTAGACTTGGATAAGGAGCTTTGGATATCTCTTTTGATATACTGTTTCTTTGGCTTTATATTAGATGGTAAAAATACTTCAAAATTCGGATGTGCACTGCTGCTTTCAATTATTTTGGATTGTTTCTTCTCTGAATTTTTCTCTCACGATAGATAATTTTTGTACTCATAAGGGAAAGAACTTTTGCTATTACCTATTCTTGAGCCCTCTGTAGGGACAATATGGTTATAAGCACCCTCTGGATTCCATTCTTTAGCAGGAACATTCTTGAGATGGCTAAAAAATTTCCTGTTCTTTCTTAATTTTCTTGACTTCAAGGTTCTTTTCACAGGAGTTTTACTTGAAGAACTTCGGGAATCCTTTATCTTCCTCCTAAATTTAAATCTTATGCTTTACCTTTCAAAGAGGATTTTGGACTTATTCCTTAACCGCAGGGTCTCTTTACTTGCCTTTTTAGGTATCCTATCTCTTTTGTTATTTAGTCTTTAGCTGTTTTATCTTGTTGCTGACTATATTAGCTTCGTTGTCATCAGATTCAGAATCTGACTCTTCAGAGCTACTTCTTGCATCAGTTTTGGAGAATTTTCCATTCCTGCTGTTTAGAGTTTTTCAGACCTTTTCAAGGATTTTTGAGTGCTATATTTAGAAATAATGGTTACCTTTGGAGATGGGGTGATCGGCTCTTTTTGGTTTGGAGTTAGCCCAGATTTGTACTGACTGTCTTCATTACTTTTTGTAACATATTTATTTAGAAATTGTATCGATAGAATCGGAGAATTGAGGGTCTAAGTAATGAGAGATTGCCCTGCAAATATCAGCACCCATCTTGTTAAAGTCAGATAACTATATTGCCACTAAGAAACTTACTTTAAAATGAAGGTCTTGGGTTTCACTATCAGTCTTACTTTTCTCTCTTCCGTAGAATGAGCATTCAAGTGTGAAACTCAGCCTGACTCCGAATTGCCTGAAGACAACAACTCGTGCTCACTTTGTTTTACACTGCTCTATTTTAAAGGTGCAATCTTTAAAGCTGAAGTTGTTGTTGAGAGAACTTAGCAAAGAAGGAAATATCCTCAAATGAAAGTTATTATATTTGCTTTCTTGAAAAGTGTTGTAATAATCTCAGCCATAAGTGAACATATTCTTATTTACGAGAGTGACCGTGGAGGTCACAGAATAATTTCACCTCTCTTTCCTCAAGAAAGACCTTTAGCAGTAGCTTAGTGTAGTAGATGGTGGGGTCAAAGTATTTACTCGGGTCATCCCATCTTCGGTTCAGGTCATATCCAAGAAGAGATCATCTGTAGTTCCCGTAAATTACTCCATCTGGATTAAGCATTGGAATAATCTTAAAAATGTAGTTCTTTCTCAGTTTCTGAGCAACAAGATCGTTACTCACTAAGAATGTGATTAGTCCTTGTCATATCCATGAGGATTGGGGTTCTCCGGGATGAACTCTTGCAGAAATGAAGATCCCTTTCTTATGAGAATGGGATGTGGCAATTTTCTTAAGCATTTTCTCGAACTTTAGCAATCTTTTACTATTTTTCCTTGAGGGTGATAAATTGAAAAGTGCCTTCTTCAATCGGTTTTCATATTCCCATCTGCCTGGAGATCCCTTATTTACCGAACATTTTGGGATCTTTGTCTACCTTAGCTTTGACTTGTGCTCGGATAGACTGATTTTTAAGGATCCTAGAGATATAAAACAAGGTTACCATTCAACATCATCATTTCAGTCTCTATAAGTCTCTATCTCATCTGTAATTATCATAAACTTGAGGTAGTTTCCAGCCAGAGTCTTGCACAGAGTCCCGATTCGTAAAAATTTCGTATAATCTGTTTTATTTTCTTCAGATTTAGATTGATTTCTTGAATAAATTCTATTTGAAAAAGAATATTTCTTTTCGAAGTCAGTGGGAGTCTTTAATGGAAGATTGTAAGCCAACTTATTCAGCAATGGCAAGAGATCACCTGAATAAGTATAAGGAACAGCATGAGCAAACCATACAATGTCATCATCATACTTAAATTCATAGGTAAAACTAAATGTGAAGTAATAATAAGTCCATGTTGGAATATTAGGGTAGCTTATTGGATCAGGTCTCCTCTCCCGATTTCTTAAGAAATTATTCATTTTGTATGAAATATCTGTCCCATCTCTATGCCATCCTTGACCAGTTTTTTCGTAATGGCCTTGGGACTTAACGCATGGCTTCATTCCTTCGTTGTACAAGCTGTCAGGCTTTGATAGGTTAACAATATTAAATTTAATTTTAGTTCCTAAAGTTATTCATGTGACTCACCTGCTTCCAATTTAGATGTAACCTTGAAGTAGTACCACTGTGTATGGCCATTCGTATTAAAGTCATTCATCAGGACAAGGTTATACTCAGATTCACTAAGCTTTATGGCTTTCCAGAGATTGCCATTTTCAAACCTGGACTCAAACTTCAGCATAAGTTCTTCCTTCTGAGAAAGGACTAACTTGTAATTTCTTCTACCTTCATTTCTGTATGATCTCTTATTTAGGAAATTCCACAATGCAGTTTTGAAGAATTTTACGGTCTATTTTTGAGGAGAGTCATACCTTCTTTACCAATAAGGTGCTTTATCATAGGCTGCTTCTTAAGCCGCTTCATATCTGGTGGGCATTCATTCGGCCCATATCTTACACCTTCTTTAGAATCATTGTTAATTCTATAACTTATTCTGATGATGAATACGTGGCTGTTTGAAGAATCGAGAGTGAACCTTCAGAACTTCCTTTGTTTCGAGTAGAAGAGGTCAGGCTTACTATATGGTTAGATGTAAGTTTACTCTTTTCACTAGACTTCTCTTGGGTTACTAATCCTTTTTCTGGTTTGAAATCATCATCTTCCTAAAATTTAGGTATGAGAAATTAGTTTTAGAACAAGTCTTAAGAAGGAAATATGAAGAATTGGAATTTACCATAATCGCATCAACATCATAAATTACAATTCCTCCATATTCCTTTCTGTAGACCGGTAGAGGGCTTTCAAATATTTGATGCTGAGCGAAGGGATTCGAATCACTATCTGAAGAGGTTGCTGAGAATCAAGAGCTAGAATCATCTCCATTCTCCCTTCTTTGCTCACATCTGAGTTTAAGTTGGGAAAAGAAGTCTAGGCTTTGATCTTCAGCTTGACTTTCTACATTCAGAGTTTCTTCCTTTTTTAATTTGATTTCTTGCTCACCTAAAATAATCTTAATTTTGGTGAATATGTGAGATTATTGCAATTCCTTGTTGAGCTTACGCTTCTCCATATTGTTGATAAATAAAATTAGCTTCAATTATTAAGAATCCCTCAGGGGTTTTGGGGTTTTGGGGTTTTGGGGTTTTGGGG